AGTAGAAAGCAAATAGTCAGTCAAGCATGGAACACAAGGAAGGAAGCAGAAAATGGAGCAATAGATTGGGCAGAGAAAGAGGATTGGAGTGGTACTTGGGGAGGGTGCAGGGCTAATTTGTGGCACTTCTGCCAAAAAGGTTGACAGCTACTGGAGTAGATGATTTCCAGAGGTCCCTTGCAGCCCTACTTTTCTGTGATTCTGTGAAGAACAACAATGGTAATTTTAATATTTATTGGAATATGGGAGGGAAGGAAAATCAATATGTGCCAAATAGAAAAAAGTAAGGAAAAGAATCAGCAGAAAAAAATTGTTTTAGTGCTCTGTAAGTTTAGTATAAACAGTGCAGGAATAAAAACTATTTAAAAGTGCTTGACATGAGTTTTTAACCTTCCCTTCATCCTTTGTGAGCCAGAACACTCAAAACCACTAGTGTTTTGATTACTGAAGAGCAAATTGAAACATTAATTGAAACTATTTTAAGAAAAAATTGCAAGATTAATTTGTACAATATTGGGTGCTCAAGCATTTATGTATAGGGATGGGATAGGGGTGTGGGGGATGTAGGAAATAAATTACTGTATTTACCCAAATTCAAGATGACTCCCCCACTCAATAATGAGATTCTGTACATGGAAAACCAATACATTTGTTATAATTTTTCATGTATAGAATCTAATTATTGGAGGGTCATCTTCAATTCATCCCCCCCCCACAATGGGGCAAGCAGTGGGGGGCTGAAAACAGGGGAATGAAGCAGCATGCCACCTGTCTCCTGCACCATTTGCCTGTCTGGCATCTGTCCCCCACCCATAGTTCTTGTGCTTCTGGCACTCGCCTCCTATGTGCCCCTCCTCTCCCCGCTGCTGCTTACCCTGAGTTGTGGCTCCGCTTCAGCCTGGGACATGGAGCACATACTAGCTCTGGCCCCTGCCTGACCAGGCACAAGTGGTTTTAGCAGTGGCAGCTCTGGGATTGGGTTGGAGCTGAGGTTGGGACTGAGGCCAGAGCTGCCATCACTGTTACTGGGCTGGGTGGGGGCCAAAGCAAATGTGTGCTTTGTGCCATAGGTCGGAATGGGCCAGAGTTACAGCTGCAACACTGGGAAAGTGGCAGGGAGGTGCGGGGGAGGGTGAGTGAGGTGGTGAGGGGCAGGTAACATGGGAGGGGGTGGAGGCTTCCATGGCTTTTGGGTCAGTGGGCGGGGGGGTCAGGGCCAGTGCCACAGCAGCCACCTGTCTGTTCTCTCCCCCTGCCTCCCCACACCATATATTCAATTCTAAGACAAGGGACTTTTCCAACAGGGGACAAAAACTTCATCTTGGATTCAAGTAAATATGGTAACTCAAAGGGACATGTTCATGATATTTATTTGCAGAGTCTTGGAGTTTGATGCTGCCACTTAAAATAATCTGAGTTTTACTGTAGACTGTACTGAGAACAGGTTTTGGTCCTTGCATGGTAGATTTATAGGTACTGAATGGAGGGGTTAACAGAAGTGAAAAATGATCATTAAGTACTCCATCATGATGGGAGATCCAGTAATAACATTCTCTAGACCTATTGTGATGGCTGTTACTAAACCCTGGTGGATCCTACTGTCTATAACGTGAATAGCAGCAGGCTTATGTTTTACACTGTGGATTTGTAAAGCGTGTTTTTCACTTAGCAGAGATATGTAATGCCATATAATAGAGAAGAAAACTCTAGCCAGCATTTACAGTTTGTTCACTTTCTTCCTTTCTCTTATTTACAGTGACTTCTTTGAACGCACCATTTTGTGTAACAGCCTTGTGTGGAGTTGTGCTGTCACGGGTAAACCGGGACTCACGTATCAGGAAGCACTAGAATCAGAAAAGAAAGCAAGGCATAATCTCCAGAGTTTTCCAGAGGCACTTATAGTTCCAGTTTTATACTTGGCCACCCTTACCCATCGCTCACGACTTCATGAAATCTGTGATGAAATCTTTACTTACGTCAAGGATCGATATTTTGTTGGTGAAACAGTGGAAGTAATTAGGAATAATGGCGCAAGGTAAATACCGTTTAAACATAATCTTCTTGAAATGTGTGTATATAGTATGCATTTTTTTTAAACTGAGGGTACAAATTATTGCACACAAGATCAAGTATAGTGCCTTTGGGTACCTATTCTGTTACTGCTACTTATTGTCTTGGATTCTGAGCTCAGTTTCTCATACTTTGGTCTACTAAGTGCTGTAATGGTTGTGGATACAGGAGAACAGTACACATTGTCCATCAGCTCTTTCCAGAGAAGTCTGTTTGATTTAGAAGATGGCACATCCTACCTCTGTCAAAAAGCTACTGCAATGCAAAGAGCAAGATGGGGTCTGGGAGGCTGAACAACTCTTCAGAGTCCAAGAGAAGGTGTTAAGTCACTCGGAGCCAACTGAATGGAATGCAGGGAAACTTTTGCAAGATATTAAGCTATTGAGTGTGAAAGTGATGATACAGACATTGTAGGCAAGCTGTATTGGTATATGTTAAACATAATAGAAAGATTTGGAGTGAGATGTAGATGTCAGCCAGGGAAGTTATGAACAAATGCTAAGGATTCTCTCTTGGGGCTTGTAAATCATCAGCTGTTAGTTTTATAACTCCAAAAGTAACAGAACTTGAGAAAACTGAAAGAAGCAATTTAAACTGGATTTTTTTTTTTTTAAGTTTTAAAAAGGGTAAGAAATTTCTAGCTCAAGAATATGGTCTTGATACAGTAACGCAGGGGTTGGCAACTGTATGTGTTGGGGCTGGGGAGGCAGCAGCTGTTTGCAGCCTCCAGGCTGCAGCCAGCCTCAGCTCTGGGTAGCTTCTGCCAGCTGGGAGCCCGGGCTGCTCCCAGCAGGCAGCTGGGACACTGCAAGCCCTGCTGGGAGCAGCCCAGGATCCAGCAGCTACCCAGAGCTGGGGCCAGCTGCAGCTGGGAGACTACAAACAGCTGCTGCCTCCCCACCCCCAGCCCCAGTGGGTGCAGTGCTGGCACCTGCTGCCTTCCCGGAGCCTGGGGCCAGGAGACAGCCGGGGCTGGAGGGCAGCAGCTGTTTGTAGCTTCCCGGCTGCAGCCAGCCCCAGCTCTGGGTAGCTGCTGATAGCCATGGAGCCTGGGCTGTTCCCATGGAAGCCCTGCTGCAAGCAGCCCGGGCTCTGTGGCTGTCAGCAGCTACCCAGAACTTGGGTCAGCTGCAAACATCTGCCCTGGCCCCAGCCCTGGCCTCAGCTGTCCCCTAGCCCCAGACCTGGCCCCGGGCTCCGGGGAGTCAGCACATACTGGTAGTGCTCTCCGCTGTGCTGCCCTCGCTGCTTCTGCAAAGCAACATTGGAACCTGGTGCAGCAGGGCACAGCAGGAGGCACAAAAAGCTGCCTGCTCCCAGCTCCCCGCTGCCCTGCCACACTTCCCCTGCAGGTGGGGGCAGCAGCAGGGAGCACAACCCAGTGCTGCTGTCCACGCTGCTCCCATGCACACAGGGGAAGTGTGGCAGGGCAGTGGGGAGCTGGGAGCAGGCAGCTTTCTGGTATGTGCTGCCTCCCCAGAGCCTGGGGCCGGGTCTGGGGTGAGAGACAGCTGGGGCCAGGGCAGAGAGGCGGCAGATATTTGCAGCTGGCCGAGGTTCTGGGTAGTTGCTGACGGCCACGGAGCCCAGGCTGGGGGGCAGGGGCTTTGGCCGGGAGGCAAGGGCAAGGGCTTTGGGTGGGGGGCAAGGGGCCCAAGTAGGGCATCCTGCCATGTACTCCCTGCCCTCATTTTGTTTTTCTGGCATGCGGGCACTCCAGCACCTTCCACAGTAGGCACTGTGGGGGTTTTCAGCACTCCAGCCAAAAAAAAGTTGCCTACCTCTGCAGTAAGGCATGCTTAGAAAGTGAAGAATTTTAAGAGAAATTTGTAACACCTAGTATTTTGGGATTCTATTTTTATATGATTTTAATGCTGATTTTGTTCAAACATACTAGCTTGTAAATTGCAGATATTACTGCGTTTTGGTACTGTCTTAAACTAAATTTCTGATGAGGGAAACTTTTGGTAAAGGGAATGAATGGTGAGGCTGTGTGTTGAGGGTATGGAGAAACCTTAAACTCTAGAGAAATTATTCTCACAAATGATCAGTAACTTGTTTATTCAAATATCACGGTTTAATTTAAATTAACTGGTCTGATTCTTCGCTTATACTGTTTCTCTGAAGGGATCAGAAAATTTTCTCAATCTAAAGATTAAAGCACTTGTGTAAATCTTTGCAAAATTGTCTTTTCCTGTCAGCTTTAGGCTTCCTCAGGCTACGAAGTGGCCATGTGGTATAAATAGTGGATGCTCAATCCATAAGGTAACTTATGCATGTTAGAGGACTAGAGAGCAGGGGCTCATAATCGGAAGCTTTACCTCATTTGTAGTCCATGGGAAAAAGGTGTGAAATACCTACAACTATGGAGTCTCTGTCTGCAAAGTTGAGGTGGGGGAGCTTCTGGAAAGTGGAAAGGCAGGAAACTGTCTCAAGACTACTGTTTCCCTTAAAAGGCACCTACACAAGAGTTGGGTTTTTTGGGGGGTTTTTCTTTTTACTTCCTTATGGTTCCATTTAATGGATTAGAGCACATTAGCCCTCATATTAAATTACTTTGGCTCAACAAATCAATTTAATTTTCCAGAAACATTTATACTATAAATTGTAGGTGAGAACGATTTAACAAAGCAGTTTTAGTTCAGGAATGTTTTTTTTTCAGTTGGTATATGAAAATGTCTCATTTTGTCTTAACCTTAAGGTGCTGGCATTTTCCAGACACCCAGCCAAAAGAATGCTTTAGAACAGTGGTGCTCAATCTTCTGGCCTCGCAGACAAGATGACTGACATGGCGCTGGTCCACAGTTCAGATTGGGCCTTGCAACTCTGGGGCTGGGTGCCGCCTCTCTGTAGCCCTGTGTGCTGGGCTTCTATGCCACCCCTGCCTGGCTCTGCATGATGGGCTTTGGGTCCCCACACTGCCTCTGCTCAGCCCGGTGCACTGCCCTTTGTGCCTTATCCAGCAAGCTACTCTGTCCAGGCTACAGCTCTCCCTATGTGTTTGGAAATTTAGCAGCATCCATACCACCAAATTTTCAGACTGGTGGAGAGCCCAGCAGGCCGGATGACCTACCACCACAAACTAGATCTGGCCTGCAGGCCACAGGTTGAGTACTCCAGCTTTAGAAGAATATATATGAGTTTCAGAAGACTAACTTTCTACTTTATTTTTTTTCTTTTTTTGTAAATCACTGACTAAAATATTTGTTTATCTTTCTTAAATTTTCAAATTTTACATGAAAAACAGGTGCATAGTTAGTTAATATAGACATAGAAAGGGGGAGCTTTCTTGTTCTTTCACCTAATGAAATTCAGAATCCTTTTCACATTTTGTTTGGAGGATAGTAAACCAACGTTAACTTTGCTTTTGTCAAATATTTGTCCCGTTCACTTAGAGAATGAAATGAATAATAGAGCTATTGTTCTGTTAAAAATGATAATGCAATTTTAATCTCAGAATAATTGGATCTGCCTTGGAAAATACTACATTTTTAAATTATTAAAGTTCTGATAAAATAATTTTAGTCCACCAAGGTGAAGGTGGTTTTTTTTATCCAAAGGTGCCTGACTAAATTTGAGTTTAACTTAAGTCTGATCACATTTTAGTTTTGTTTTTCAATTCACACAATTGTTGTTAATAAAATAGGGTTTTTGGAACTTTAACCTTATGGGGCACAGAGCCAGTTTTACAGGCATTTCATGGTGGCCCCATCCCTTGCTGTTGATTGACAGACAGGCCCTGGCAGCCCTCTTCCCTCTCCACCAATTGGCTGAGAAGCAAAAACCACATAATTAAATATCAAATTCCACAGGATTATGAAATTCCATGGAAATAATTGTATATATTAGTATATTATACATCTAAATATTAAATTTAATTTGTAATTAAAACTAAATTTAAATATATCATTAATATAAACTTATACATGGTGGGCATGTCTACACAAGACATTTACTGTGCAGTTGACCTAATTAACTGCAGTCCAGTGGAGGGCAATAAAAATGGTTAGGGGGTGGGGCACATGGCGTAATGAGGAGAGGCTGAGGGAACTGGGCTTATTTTTAAGGAACTCCGTGATCTTAAACATAAAAAGGAAGCTTGGACAGATGACTAGGGAGGAGTATAAGAATATTGATGAAATTGGTAAGGCCAAGGCACAATTGGAGTTGCAGCCAGCAAGGGATGTGAAGGGTTTTTACAAATGTTAGCAACAAAAGGAAGGTCAGGGAGTGTGCGAGACCCGTACTGAATGGGAGAGGCAACCTAGTGACAGACGATGTAGAAAAGGCCGAAGTACTCAATGCCTTTTTTTTTGGTCTTCACAGGCAGGATCTACTCCCAGACTATTGCATTGGGCAGCACAGTTTAGGGAGAAGGTGAGCAACCATCAGTGGTTAAAGAACAGGTTGGGGATTATTTAGAGGAGCTGGACGTGTACAAGTCCATTTTGCCCTATGGGATGTATCCAAGAGTGTTGAAGGAGTTGCCTGATGTGCTTGCAGGGCAGCTGGCCATTATCTTTGAAAACTCGTGGAGATTGGAGGAGGTCCTGGATGATAGGAAAAGGACAAATATAGTTCCCATCTTTAAGAAAGGGAAGCAGGAGGATCCAGGGAACTACAGACCGGTCAGCCTTATCTCAGTTGCTGGAAAAATCATGGAGTAGGTCCTCAAGGAATCCATTTCTAAGCACTTGGAGGAGAAGAAAGTGATTAGAAACAGTCAGCATGGATATGCTAAGGGCAAGTCATGCCTGACCAACCTGATTGCCTTCTGTGATGAGATGACTGGTTCTGTGGATGCAGGGAAAGCAGTGGACATGATATATCTTGATTTTAGCAAGGCTTTTGATACAGTCTCCCACAGTATTCTTGCAAGCAAGTTAAGGAAGCATGGGTTGACTGTAACGCAGATAGAAAGCTGGCTGGATCATTGGGCTCACAGATTCACAGAAGTTCAGGGCT